CTGTGTGCCCTAACCTGTAATGCCAAAGCCTACTCATGTCTGCCGCTGAAGTAACCAAAGCAACCTGGCCAATCTCGGTGCTCCCCTTCAGATAGTATAAATTTCGACTGCGGACTCCCTTCATCACCACCAAAGATCCCTTAGTAACCTTCGCTACAGCGTTCTCAAAGGTCACCCTGAATCCCTTAGCCTCCAAAGCTCCAACTGAGATAAGATTCTTCTTTAGTTGAGGAACGAATCTCACCTCCTTTAACTCACAGACTACTCCATCGTGCATCCGAATCCTCACAGTACCTATCCCACAAATGCCACAGGATTGATCATTTCCCATGATAACAACATCCCCGTCGAGTCTCTCAAACGATGAAAACCAATCTCGCCTAAGAGTCACATGATAAGTAGCGCCAGAATCAAGCATCCAATCCGATGCATCCAAATGGTTCACCTCCGGAGTAATCAAAAGAGAAAAGCTCGAATCATCAGAATCATCGCCTTTTGCAACATTCACATCATTGGCCTTCGGGCCATTTTTCTTGCTATTCTCCTTTTCCTTGACCTTTAGGCAGTCTCTCTTCCAATGTCCTAGTTCCTTGCAGAACGCACACTGGTTCTTAGCTAGCTGGTAACGACCTCTTGACTTTGACCTTTCTCGATTACCACCTTTCAGATATGGGCTTCTACCTCTCGTCGATAAGGTCTCTCCTGAAATACTAGCGCGGGAAGTCTCCTTATCCTTCCTCCTCAAATCGTAGTTCGTTAATGCGTTAGTCACTTCACTATAAGTGATAGAAGATCTCCTGTTCAGCAAAGTAAGCACGAAGGTATCATACTCCTCATCCGGTAAGGAACCTAAAAGAATAATAGCCTTGTACTCATCCGTGATCTTCTCATCCACATTCGCCAAGTCCGACAACAACTTAGTGTAGTTGTTCACATGAGCCGCTAGTGAGGCGCCTCGGGACATCTGGAATCTGAATAACCTACGTAGCAAATACAACCTGTTCTCAACACTCTTCGTAAGATACTTATTATTGAGAATTTCCCACATCTTCATCGCAGACGTCACCCCAATCACATCATATTTCAGCTCCTGTTCCAAACAGGACCTGATCGCCCCACAAGCGTTCCTATTTATCTTTTTCCATACTGCCTCTTCATATTTAGGTGGCCTCACATCGACCATGATGGTCTCTTCCAAATTTTGAGCATTGAGCGCATCCTGTACGTCGCTCATCCACAAACCAAAATTAATTTTGCCGTCATATTTCACTACACTAATCTTAGTGTTCTGAAAACCTACTTGAATTGTACCCGTCATCTTGCTGCTTTCACTAACTTCTTCACCCATAATCACAAACTCTAAATTGCAAAAAAAGATTCAAACTTTATAGAATTTAGAAGTTACCCAACTGAACCCTAGATTGGATTCCAAATAGAACTCCTAACCACACGAGGAAAGCGAGATATTCAACGGCAACTTCAAACCCTAACTCCACCAAAGCCCAGAATTCCAAGGACCAAGCTTCCAATTGAATCTTCCTCCACCTAATCCAAAACCCTAGATCTAAAATCTGAGCTCTGGTACCACTTGTTGCGCGCCTTGCGGAAGCGTGCTCAACAACCAAACGAAACACGAGTGCAATTCACAAAATAACGACCAAAATCACACACAAACACAGGAATTTACGTGGTTCGGCAATTGCCTACGTCCACGGGGAGAGGATGGGGAGATTTCACTATATGGAGGAGAAATACAACGGGTTACAACTCACAAAATCACTCAAATATAACCCTAACCAAAGCTCTCAACTCCCTCACAATATCTCCCTCTTAAAGTGCTCAAAACAATACTAATTCTCTCCTTTTCTCTCCTTAAGAAACCTTAAAAAACATGGTTCTATTTATAACAAAATACAATCCCAAATAGATTAGGATTCTAAAAACGAGTCTGCCACACCAGGGTGTGGCGCAGACCACACCCTTGGCAGACAGGACAGATTCTGCCACACCAGGATGTGACGCAGACCACACCCATGGCAGACAGGGCAGATTCTGCCACACCCATGGCAGACACCACACCAGGGTGTGGTGGAGTCTGTTTTGGGTTATTTTTCACGTTTTTCACAATTCCTTCGCCGTTTTCACAGGGGAGGATCCGGATCCCTACCTAAATCATATTTTTCTATTCAGTTTTGTTTGTTTAGGATGTTAAATTAATAACTATCATATACGCGTGTAAATAATTTGACTGCTAAAGGACATTTTCGAAGAGGTCAAAAAAGAGGGGGCAAAAATTCACTTATTCAAAAGGAGCACATTGCATCAAAGCTGAAAACTTCTTTCAATGTGCACATAAATCAATCTTGCTAAGAGCATTTGGACGGCCACCTGATGTTGCCCCCATCTTAAGTAACATAAATCTAAGGAATATTTGGGGCCATATCTATGGCTTTATCACTTTTTTAGCTCCTATGGACCTAAACCCAATATAAATAATGGCTTGTCATAGAATTTATCATGCTCAAGGACAATAAGCAACCTATTTGCAATTTTAAACTTGCCTTGTCAGCTAAGGGAAGAAGACTACTAGGAAAGAAAAAAGATGCATGAAACTAAGCGCTGGTTTCTACTAGTTCTAGGGATACCCAGCAAAAGTTAACAGAAAAGAGAGAAGCTACTTAGTGGCTATATGATAGTGATTCTGTTCTTCTCAAGGGAACACAGTTGCTGTAAGATAGTTTGATGAACTTCTTTATACTTCTTTTTTAAGAATGAAGGTACAAGAATATTATTTTTTTTCAGCAAACTGTATGCTCACCTAATCAAAAGCTTAGCTTCTTGTTTGGAGAAACAATGGGCATGATTAAGGGATCCAAGGGAGGCTTACAAAAAGCCACAAAAAAAAAGCAACTACTCTATTTTGTTTGGAGGGAGGGTTGAGGAGGGAAGGGGAAGGGAAATTTGGATTTAACATTGCTTGGGAGTTCTATTAGGATGGTAGAGGAGGGGAAGTCAGAAAAAATTTGCACTAAAACCCCAATTTTGGGGGGGTGGGTGGGGTTGAAGGATGGGAGGAAAGGAAGGAAAAAGTTTAACCTTGTGTGGTGTGTGTGTGGGGGGGGGGGGAGGGGAAGGAAAGGAAAGGAAAAGTTTAACCTTCCTACCGTTCCCTTAGCGATCTCCCAAATAGGCCATAAGATATGGGCATTCATAATCAAGCATTTAACAGAAATAGCTAGGATTTATATCGGGGTCATAAACGGCGCTTAATAGATGGTATTAGTTCCGGCAAAATAAAGTATAGATGAAGAATTAATACACATCAATTATCCAAGTCAAAATGCAGCAGTAATAACTAGCTTGCATACTTTCTACTGAGGACAGGAACAGTTTGCAACAAGTCGCTGCACTTGTTCAAACACTGAAGGAAAGTTAAGAGGACAGTTGTATATGCCTTTCCTTTCTTACTACAGTCAGACAAGAGAAAAGAAAGATGCACAGTTTAAAACAAAGCGCTAGAATTTGTGTACAAGGGTCTAGAAAAAGGAAGAGAATCACATAAAGAAAAAGAGTGAATGACAAAGGGAAAATCATACTGAGAATTTGAAAGAATTTGCAAGTGATCTTGACCGTACCCAAGTAGTCATGATATTATAAAGAATTTGGTTCCTGTACATGACTCCAAAAGTTGATACAAGACATAATTGTTTGGGTTTGTCCGAGGAAACGTAGAGAGCACATACAAAAGGGTCACTCACACAAAGAGAAAGCGAAGCATATCATTAGCCATCATATGCCCAGATGCATGCTTTCAAAAGGAAGATCATATCCCAACATTTACAATATGATATCTTATATTTTTGGTTGTTTGATATTTGTTATTTCGGCAAGTTGTATCAATCCTTTCTTTGATACAATAGTAAGGCTCATTTTAAAATTTGAGCTCTTGTACTTCACCATATATGAGTGAAACAATCAGGTTCATGATGTCTACTCTTCGCACTTTGGTAAAGGTATATCATCCATTAAATCTTATATTAAGCACCAATAATCATATTGTTTAGCAAACACCTAAAACTATCATCCGTTAAATATCATATTAAGCGCTGAGAAGTAGCATATTTAGCAAACATCTAAAACGAATCAATTATTAGTCTATTACTATGTATATGCAAGATCTGGGGATATTATCTGAAAATGTTAAAAAATAAGTTGTAAAAACAATTTGTCGATTCATTTAATCACAACCGGTCATGAGTTTAATCATCGCACTTGAAACATACATATGCATCAAATACGCGATCCAGTCCTATTAATCAGAAAGGCTATGAAATTTTTCTACAACTAACTAATCTGTAAAATAGTGTATTAAAGAAAAATTAATACAAATAGTTATTGTTATTTAAGAACTTACATTTTCCAAATATCTGCAATATATATGTATTAAAGACTATATTCACACACAAAAATTCTGAAATACAAAAGTTGATACATGATCCTTTATTTGCTTTTCCCCTGTACAGGCCTGAGGTTGTAGAGAAATAATGTAACTACAAAAAACAAACTATAAACAAGATCCTCTGGCCATTGTAAAATGCATCTAGTGTCTAATCACTAATTTTCACCATACGTCAAAGTCTAGACCTAGATAAGACAAGCGCACACTTATCATATTAATCGTGTTGAGTGCTCCACAAATTATCCTTGACAAGGAATCCAAGGAAAGGTACAATCACAATACTCATTGCGTGATTGTTATCAAGTTGCCTGGATTTTTATTTATTTATTTAGCACCTAAGCTTCATATCTTATCACGATTCAGTTGAATTAAAGCTCCATGGGGCCACTGTTACTTAGCACCCTTGAGCTTTCATAAGTTGGCATGTGGAAAGAATCTAGGTTGCAAACTAATCTAATCATCCATCATTACCAATGTCACCAATTTTGTTAGAGCATGTTTAAACTCTTTTTAAGGATATAATGAAAATGATAACCCGTACCTTAAAAGCGCAGGACATCTGGGCCTAACTTGAGAACCTTGTCCTGATAGTGGTACAACAGCTCATAGAACCTCCCGTGGATTGGACCTCCACCACCAGTTCATGAGAATAGAAGGAATATTAACTGGATTGCCTGAACCAACTAGTAGACGTAAATCATCAGTAGCAAAACGACTCAAGATGCATTTCTTAAATGCAGAATAAATAAATTTAAATTGCAAAAATTTAATTGAAAGAACTACTAAGGATCACTAAACACATCTAGAGCCCAGAAAGACCAGTTCTCTTGACTCTAACAAGCATAACTCCATCATGTACTCGTACCAACAGCGCATCAATTGAAAACTTAACCTGAAGAACTATATAATGATGTTTGAGCTTCATAACCAACATCATGTTATTTTGCAGGAAAGATCAAGTGGGGGTAAAGAAACCATCTACCAAGTGATCCGAACTCAGATTTTCAATATCCAAACACACAGCTCTCCAGCTCTTTTGAGTTATGGTGTGGATTGACAGAAGCAAGTACAGTTATATACACTTAGTACCCATTAAGTGGGATTTGAAGAGTATGCTATGATACAATAAAATCCCTGAAGAAAATAGAAATAGTAATAAAAAGATATTTCTGATAAAATTGTGCTATCAAAGAACCAATTGACAATTTCATGGTACAGAA